TTTTTAACCATCAGTCGACTGATCAATCGACTGACGGGCTGGTTTTGTTTTTCTCAGCTTCTCAGTCGACTGGTCAGTCGACTGGCGAGCTGAGGTTGTGCTGCCTGAGCCTCATCAGTCGACATATGAGTCGACTGACGTCATCAGTCGACACATCAGTCGACTGATGAGCTGTTTTACAGATTTTTGATCTGTTTGAGTCGTCTTTCGGGGTCGCCTCGATAACCTGACCCTAGCTTATCATGTTAATGACTTATCTGTACATGTGGGTTGACTTATGACATAAGTTTAGATATGTACACCGAGATGCGGGTGAGTTTAGATTATGTATATTTGTCCGCCTATACTTTTCACAGTTACACAGTCCTCGTGTTGGACAAGCATTACTTTATAGTCCTCGTGTTGGACACCCTTCCCACTTAGTCCTCGTGTTGGACATGCATTGCTATTTAAATCCTCGTGCTGGATATGTATTACCATCCGGTCCATGCGTTGGACAACGGTCACACCCGGTCCATGCGTTGGACAACGGTCACATCCGGTCCATGTGTTGGACAACGGTTATATTCAGTCCATGAGTTGGATGTTTACTTCATGCAGTCCATGGGCTGGACGTTTAATATATATATAGTCTACGTGTTGGACACTTAATCGTTTTTAGACATGACACTTATTGTGGCCATGACACGATTACACTTATCGGTAGAGATGGGTTTGTATTCGTTTCCTTTATTGTTTCTTGTCTTAGATCTCGGGTTTAGTATTTAGGGATTTACAATTTGAGATAAAAGGTATATACATGAGGGTTTCCTTGTTTGGATTATTTCGCTCGACGTACCTATGCTCGTGTTGTAATTTCCTAAGTACCAAAACCCATTGTTGTTAGGATAAATGATTTATAATATTATGTATTAACTGTATTTTCATATACATCGAGCCCTATCCCTTGGGGTTGGTTGTGATGTTGCTCGCTAGCGCTTTGACGCTCGTTGTCCCTCCCCCTTTCAGGTAACGAGCCAGGAGCCCGGAGAGTCGCAGGTTGATGGCGACACACTTTAGTGTTCAGCTGACTATTTTTAGATATGTTTTATTTTGGAGCTCCACTGTTCCACTAGAGAGATAGTAATTGTGATGGTGAAACATGTTATTGCACGGAGTGGTGCATGGCAGGTTTGACATTTCTGGTTTCACCTCGGACTGCAGCCTTGTGTGAACCCAGGGGCGTCACAGAAGTAGTTGATGAGCACACGGGTTACTTAGAGCTGGCCGGTGAGCTCGCGGGCCACTTGGAGTTGGTCAGTGAGCATGCGGGCCATATAGAGGTGGCCAGTAAGCGCTCGGGCCACTTGGTTTGCCATTCTGATGGCCGATGAGCGTGTGGGCCACATAGAGGTGGCCGGTAAGCCCACGGAACACTTGGTTTGCCGTTCTAGTGAACGATGAGTGTGCGGGCTACTTGGCGGTGGCCGGTGAGCACACGGGACAGTTGGCGGTGGTTGATGAGTGTGCGAGCCACTTGGAGCTGGCTGATGAGTGTGCGGGCAACATGGAGGTAGCCGGTGAGCGCACGGGCCACTTGGTTTGTCATTCTGGTGGCCGATGAGTGTACGGGCCACTTGACGGTGGCCGGTGAGCACGCGGACCACTTGGCATTCGTCGTTCCGATGATTCGTCGCCACGTCATTAACGGTTCGCTGATTCGCTTCATGCACTTGTCAACGTCAGATGATCCTCTTTGACTCGGATAATTCTCTTCAACTTAGATAATGACATTCATCGTCTTCTCTTTGTCTCGAGCTGTATGCGGTCACCTATAGGCATTTTTAGTCGCCTACATATGGTTTCGAGATGCATGCACGATCCAGGAGTGGGTCATTGGGACGTCGTGAGATAGATTTTGAGGTACATTCGAGGTACGCTTAACGTTGATTTGGTTTTTGAGCGGGATACTAGAGGTGGGTAGTTCTGCATTGGCTATATTGATTCAGATATTGTCGGGGATTTGGATAAGCGCGGATCTACTACGGGGTATGTGTTTACTTTGACCAGTGCGCCGATATGTTGAAGATGTACCTTACAGTCTACAGTGGCTTTGTCTACGATGGAAGCAGAGTATATGACGATTACGGAGGCTGTGAAGGAAACTATTTGGCTTTAAGGACTTTTGGAGGAACTTGGCATATCGTAGCGGTCCGTCACTATTTATTGTGATAGCATGAGTGCTATCTATTTGGTGAAGAATCAGGTTTTTCATGAGAGGACGAAGCATATTGACGTTCTTTATCACTTCGTTCGAGATGTTCTTGAATATGGCGATGTGGCGATTATGAAGGTCCACACGAAGGATAATCTGGCGGATATGCCCACAAACGTGGTTCCGGGCAACAAGTTTGATCATTATTAAAATTTGTTGCACATTCGTGATTGTTGAGGCCATTGATGGCCATTTAGATTAACTACAGGTAGCTTGATCCCTTAGGAGAGGGGGTTAGTAGGCAATCATATTGGTGCAACCGATTTTGGAGAGACGACAAATTGGTGCTCTTCGTTTGGTGTCGGCTTAGTTTTGAGAAAACTTCACTGAGGTGGAGAATTGAAGAGAATACAGGAAAAATAGCAGAAAACAAGTTTGGACTTCCAGCGGTCGACAGCGAGTGGCGCGACGGTCGGCTGCAAACGTGCACGCAAGCTGGAAAAATCTCTGGACTTTTCGTGATCAACCTCCAGTAGCACGACGGTCGATCGGCCAAACCCTGTAGTGATATTGAGTTTTTATCGTTGGATTCGGTTGACCGACATTGGCTCTGTGGTCTACCGCGAGTCGGGCTGGGCCTGGACTTTGGCTTCTTGTTCACTTTGGGATTGTTTTTTGATATATAAGCAAACACGTTTTTCTAGGGTTTCTAACAGAGATTTTAGATTGTGCTGAGCATATTGAGAGGGAGAACTTGTGAGCAAATTGAGAGATTTGGTTTAGGGTTTGTGTGAGTGATTTTGTAAGATTGTAACTCTTTGTACTCTCCTTGATTTAGTGGAATCTCCCGATCCTCTCCCTGTGGACATAGGCAAATTGTCGAACCACGTATATCTTTGTGTTTGGTTTGATTTGTCTTATTTAGATTGAATTGTGCTCGTGTGTGGTTGGTTCTCTTCTCCCGTGATCACAGATTCGTTCGGTGTGCGAGTACGCTTCCGCATAGGCGCGCAAAAATTAGATGATGTGGGTGATTTTTCAAGAAACAAATTTCATGACTTGTTTTGAGGTTATTTGGTTGGCAAATGAAACAAGGAAATCAATTATAAAAAATCTATTTTCTATAATAGGTTTTTTTTTCTTGTGTTTGGTTCATTCTTAATACTAAGAAAAAGGATGAGATGAGATGAGTTGTCATTATATTATTGGATAATATGACTCATATTTATGAAAACTCATTTCATGTTTTTTTTATGAAATAGATGGAAATCAAATTTTAATGAGATGAGATGAGTTGTCACCATATTATTGGATGATGTGACTCATTTTTAAAGATGAGATGGGATAGATGATGTGACTCATTTTTTGTGTTTGGTTCATTCTTAAAAGTAAGAAATGAGATGAGAAGAGATGGGTTATCACCATATAGATGATGTTGGTGATTTTTAAGAATGGAAATGGATGAAAATCAACTTTTAATAGTTTCCAAGGTCCTAGTTCCTTTTCTTTGATTTTAGAAAACCAACCAAACAGCTTCTTAAATCCCATCATTAGTTCACAATCCACTTATTTTATAGAAAAGATCATTTATGACTCTTTGAAAGGATATTATTGTTATTGAGTTCTCATAATGGGTCTATTTTCAGATGCCTTTTTTCTGTTTTAATTTTTATTTTTTTCCTGTCTTCAAGTGTTTCTTTAATATGAATTTTTTATTCTCTTTTTATTCTAACCCACAAAATTGTAGAAGAGAGGATGTAACTGTATCTTAAGTAGAGAGTCTTTAGTGCTGTCTCAAGTAGACCAAATTGAAAAGGGCTTTTTCACATAACTTGGAGCACAAAGAAGAATTTACGAAAAGATGAACAATGCTATACGTTTCAGGCAAATTTGTATGCTATATATCCTATTCGATAACTAGCATTTTCTCTTAATTATTTGATCATCATTCTGTTATTTTATTTTTACTGGTCACTTTGACTAGCATAAAGTATGGTCTTAACTTTTATCACCAGTTGAAATTTTAATATAGAATAACCAAAGTCTCACCATGTAAAATTCTAACACGCGTATCAAAAATTTGGTAAAGACGGTGAATAACAAATTATTCTCGTACGGAACGTTATTTTATATATTTCCTACATTTTTGTGGTGTTTCTGACACCTACGGAATATTTCTAAACTCTTCGTTTGGTATGTTTGATCCTAATTTCTTTTATTCTTATGTTTTTGAACTCTTCATTTGAAACTAGGTTGGAGTTTATGATGAAATTATCATTAACATGTAAAATAATGTACACTAGTAGAAAATCACGTATTCTAGACGGAATATTCTAGACGGAATTTTTTCCGTCTAGAATGTATTAAACTAGACGGAAATTTTCCGTCTAGAATATTCCGTCTAGAATAAAACATTCTAGACGGAAAATTCCGTCTAGAATAGTATCCTAGACGGTTCTTTTATTTTTTATTTTTTTTAAAAATAACCAGGTATCCTAGACGGAAATTTCCGTCTAGAATAGTATCCTAGACGGAAATTTCCGTCTAGAATACCTGGTTATTTTTAAAAAAATAAAAAACGCCTCCTCTCCTCCTCACCGGACCCCCTCCCGAACTCCTACATCCTCTCCTCCGCCCTCAAGTCTTCCCCTCTCCCCATCTGTCGCGCCCTCCACTCCATCGCCCTCAAGCTCCACCCCCTCCCCAATCCCTTCATCTCCACCTCCCTCCTCGACATGTACGCCCGCACCAGGGGGTCCCCTCTGCGCGCGCGGTCTTCGACTCCATGCCCCAGGAGTCGGCCGGGATGGTCGTCATCGCCACAGCAATGATCACATGCTATGCAAAACCCGACGATTTGGAGAGCGCACGGCAGATGTTTGATGGAACGACCGGGCGAGATTGCGTCTGTTGGGACGCGATGATCAATGGGGTACGCAGAGCACGGGCGAGATTGCTATTCCCAGTAACATTTCTGTTGTATTTAATGTCCTCAATCATGTAATGTATATATTTGTTTAGTAATCTTTGTCCTCTGAATTATGGTAAATATTTGAAACTTTTAGTGAAACTTTTAGTGCTATAGTTGATGATATTGGAGTTTAATTTAGCTGTCCGATATCATATTATCGTTCAATATCTAATGACAAACTTTACTGAATTATATTTGAAGCTTCTATTGTTAGCAGTCGAACAATCTTATAGTGACACTAAGTACCACAACTGGTTCTTGTTTGTTTGTGCAGATTTACTTTCAGAAGAGTTATAAGAAAGGGAAGTACTGAGGAGTTTTCGTGTATTCCTTATATCATAGCTCTGCTGAATTGCCTCCTATATACATGGTTCAGTATGCCAGTGGTAAGCAAAGGTTCGGAGAACTTTACAGTGGCCACCATTAATGGCTTGGGAATCCTGCTTGAGAGCTCGTTCATTATAATCTATATATGGTTTGCATCACCAAAACTTAATGGCTTGGGAATCCTGCTTGAGAGCTCGTTCATTATAATCTATATATGGTTTGCATCACCAAAACATAAGGCAAGAATATTTCTCTCTTATTGTTTCGAGTTTCTTGTTAATATGGTTTGCTGACAGTTTTATGCCATTTACAGATTTTTTTTTAAACCTCAAACAGTCATTTTGACATAAATTAGTCTACAAGGTAACAATTAAGTAGATGAAATTCTTCATAGTATTTCATCAAAACTGTACTGTGTTTGACTTAAACTGTATTAACTGAACATCATTATGACAGCCACTTGATACCTTTGAACTGAAATACTTTATTATTGCAACTTTTATCAGTATTGTGTTTCATATAATAAAACTGTAACTGCATCCCTGTACTTGCTCAAAACTCACGTTCGTGTGTGTGTCAAAATATGTTGAACGTTTTAAACACAACTAAGCAGGGAACAAAATTTCGAAAGTTTTCAGCTTATATCCCTGTTTATTTATTGGCATATAATGTTGTAGGGTTTGATCACGCATTTTCTGTAGCTTATATCCCATTTGTAATTCTCAAGCATATTCTCAATAGACGAAGGAACTCTAATTAAGCGCATAAACAGTCATTGTTATTCCTAATTAATTAATCTCGCTCTGATTATTTGTAGAAATTAGTTATTCTGATGGTGGTGCCGGTAATTGTTCTGTTCGGTATGACTGTATTTGTTTCGAGCTTAGAAATTAGTTATTCTGATGGTGGTGCCGGTAATTGTTCTGTTCGGTATGACTGTATTTGTTTCGAGCTTTCTGTTGCATGATCACCCTCATCGAAAAGGTAATTGTTCTGTTCGGTATGACTGTATTTGTTTCGAGCTTTCTGTTGCATGATCACCCTCATCGAAAAGTGTTTGTTGGAAGCATCGGACTTGTAGCTTCTATAGCCATGTATGGTTCTCCATTAGTAACCATGGTTCGTGCTCTTCCCCTTCACCATGTTATTCACTTTAGCCTGATACTCTTGATTATAACACGAAGTCTAGCACAAAACCTGGCGTATGTACCATATATAATAACAGCGTTAGTTGCACATAGACCCTTGTAGTTTTGTTGTTTTGAACCTACTACATCTGTTGTTCGATTTATTAGATAGATCTCCTGGGTGGAATTTATTTGCTGGTGTGTTGTGGTATGAATTATATATTATATTCAACCTATCTGAAGTTAGCATAAACTCTCTACACAGCTGTGCTTATGAATGCTTAAGCTTAAATGATATCAGTTGAAAAAGAGGTCGCAAGCAACTCTACTTCATCAAGGGATGTTTAATTATAAATATAACAATAACTTTGTCGTAGGTTATTATTAGTATGTTTGCAGTTCAATTCAGCGCATTGTCTCTAATGAACAAGGTAATGGCATAGATCTGTGATGTACTCATGAAATTGCCATGTACTGTATTCAAAGCTATGAGCGCCATGACTTCTATGAAAAACGATTGCTAATGTTTTAATAGGGAGTACATTCCATACGCAATGCTAAATAGACATAGAGGAACCGTCATCACGCAAGTATGTTAGCACTTATTGTCCCTGCACATGTAGCTATTAGATAATTTTGCAATTTCTTAGTTTATTGTACATTTTCAGCTAAAGTTGATCCTCAAATTGGCTGTATTGTCATCGTGTAATCCATTTATAAACACCCCAACTTCCCTTCTTCCATTGGATAGTAATGAAGAAAAATAGTTTATATTATTGTTTGTCTCATAGCAGTTGTTCGTTTGCAATGCAGAGAAAACTTATTTGAAATGGATTCTCAAGATACAAAGTATACATGGCCCTAGCGCTCCTCTGCCTTTTCTCAAATCCATTGAGGTACAAATATTTGTATCCTTTAACTGGAAAAAAATAAACTGTATTTGCTAACAAGAATGTCTAATGACTTGATTGTTTTTCTCGTATAATTTATTTATATATGTGTTTTGCTCATGCTAGTGGTAGATTAAAGCACATTCATGCCGGTGGTATAATTAATTCATGTATTTGCTAACAAGAACTGAAACAAGCTAACTTAGCTAATAATGGCTAAAAGATGCTGATTTAGCTAATGTGTTTGTTGTATGATTTGACATTTGAGTGTGCAATCATTCCCTGAAATCTTTAGTTGGGTATTCATTTTGTATATACAAACCGAGGTAGTCGAATAGAAGAATTTTGGTTTTGTTTTCCGTCTATTGTATATCCTCTATCTGTGGTTTTAATTTTTGTTTCCCATGTTTCGCAGGTGTTTATCTGTTAACAGAAGTGTTGGTCATTGGAGAATTCAGGTGAGCTTTGTTGCTGTGTATTTTGGATCTCAATGCATTAGTGTGCATTCATGTGTTTTGATGGTGTTCTACTGTTTATTGATTGGTTCTTTTACATGGGGATATTATAAAATTGTCCATGAAAATATGTATCCTTTTGGAAATATGATATAATCTTTCACTAAATTATGGCTTCAGTTTGTATTATCTTTTATGTGCATCATGATAATTCAAAACATGCTTGGGTTGGGTTTCTGCGATGCTACTAAAATGAAGTCACTAGTAGAAATACACATATGAAAATATGATTTAGATAATAGCTTGTACTAAGAAATATGATACTCTACTTCGATAACTCCTTGCCTTATGCATAACCGTTCTTCATTTTGCAGCATTCCTGGTTATTATGAGGCATTCTGGAAGGAGTTGGATGGTGTCAAGCAAATCTCGAAGAACAGAAAGCAAATCTGGAAGAACAGAAAGGAACTCAAATAGATTAATAATCATGTATCGATGAATTACATTCTTTCCTAGAAGTGTCATAGCCATTGTAAATAATTTATGTAAACGTTTGTAAATAATTTATGTATCTCTCTACTATTTTGGTGAATGTATTATTTGAATATAATTGGATTTGATATTGGAATTAATTAGATTGTGTTGGATATGAATATAATTTTTTGTTGTTCAATATTGTGTACATACACTAAAAAAAAAACTACTGTAGCATAGTGGAAATTCCGTCTAGGATGCTTAGATTGCTTAAATTCCGTCTAGAATACTTTTTAAAAATTAAAAAAATTTAAAAAATCAAATTCCGTCTAGAATAAGATTTCTAGACGAAAATTTCCGTCTAGAATACTTATTCTAGACGGAATTTTTTTCCGTCTAGGATAAATTATTCTAGACGGAAATTCCGTCTAGAATAATCCGTCTAGGATGTATTCTAGACGGTTTTTAATTCCGTCTAGAATATTCCGTCTAGGATGTATTCTAGACGGAATTTCCGTCTAGAATACTACATACTAGACGGAAATAAACTAGACGCGTATTCTAGACGGAATTCCGTCTAGAATACACATCCTAGACGGAATTCTGGGTATCCTAGACGGAATTTTCGGTCTAGGATGCCTCAAATTTTAGCAGTGGTAATTGAATCTAAGTGATGGAGGACTGTAAGTATGTGTATGAACTATCAAAATTAAAATTCATATGTAGCCTTTTTGCATTTTATCTTTATATTTTAATGAAAGTGAAAACATTGCAAAGAATCATAATATCATAATATTATGGTAGAACATGTAATCAGTTTTAGTGACATCATTTTCACTTGCTAAATATATAATGTGTGATTTTATATTTGTTTGCTTTTCCAAAAAGTTGTGAACAATTGAAATTTTTTGGGTAAATTATTTTAAAAAGATTGCGACAATTTTCTATTTTGAAAATTTTATAAACTTACTAATGAACAAATCCATGAATCCCACAGAGCTAAAACTAGTTGGATCAAGAAAGCAGCGACCCAACAATAAATGAGTGTTTACCTAGTCAATCAACACATAGCTAACCAATTAGACTCTGGATCTGGATTTACCCTAAGACCATCTCCAGCAGGAGGTGAAATTTCACCTCCTTCTCTCCTGCCACTTTACTTTATTTAATTCAA